ATAATATTTTTTTGCGAAACATGCTACATCGATAATACTGTTTTTTGTACTATCTAAAAATTAACTTTCAATCGTTTCAAGGCTTAATCTTTTTCTTATGAAACTACGTACTTAAAACATTGTGACCCCATCTTCAAATGTAAGAAAAAGTACAATTTCTTTTAACTTTAGATTTTTACTTTTCAAACTAACCAACATGAAGGACACCGTGAATGCAACCAATAAGACATTAGCTTGTACATAGGTACAAAAAAAAAAAAAGTCTGGCATGAGCTGGTTGTTAAAGTAATCGACTCGAAATCGGTGAGTGGCGGAATAGAATCCCATCATCGAACATGTTTGCCCTTTAAACCATAAGGGCGTTATAATGTGATGGTCACTCCTACTGTTCATAGGTAAAGAGTTGGCGGTGAACTATATGATTTACCTCTAGTCTATCACTTCAAAATTATAGATGGCTAATGAGGATAACTCTCGATTGGCTTTGCGCAAAATTCAACGAAACAAACAAACAAATATAGATAAAAAAAATATGTAATAAGATACTACCTTGACCCTTGAAATGTAAGTACATAAGTTGCAATAAGAAGAACTGAACAAAATATACTACGCACAGAAAAGCTTTTCTATCTTCATATTGCAGTACACCAATTTTTAAGCTCCAAAACTCCAGTGTAGTAATATAAAAAGATCTGGCACACCGCCCATGTTGCAACGTTGTTGTAAATAAGTTATTGAATCTTTCCAAGGAAATTCAATAGCACCTATACTTTGGTTCAAATATCAAGCTATCGCTTTTGTGTTGCTTATGTACGCCAGGTTGATTGCAAGTAAAAACCAGAATACACAAACTGTGTTCTTCTATTATATATTTACACGAGTAGAAAAAAAGATATATCGATAGGCACACACACACATATATACACATCAAGTCAACATTAATATTTAATGCCCCTAGGTACTACTTGTGTAAAAAAAGCCACACTGATCCATCGGTTTGTATGTTTACTTATCTTATCTATCACTTTATGCTTCTCTTATAAAACAAATCTTTGTGGCAACAAATTTACAATATTGGTCAATGGTACTCCACATATATCGATGTGGTTCGATAATTTGTGGTACGTGCATACTTTGAACTTCGATGAAAACTTTAGTTGATTTGTCAAAACTTGATTTTATGTTTTCCATGTGCTTGTCAGAAACCTGTTAATTGTTCTTTTGCATTTAGTTTTCATAATATTAATAACAAAGTGACACAGATGACATAAGGTTGGGTCAAAAGTCAACATCACTAACGTTTTGTTCTGTTTGAACTGCAACATGTCTCATACAATTATGCATACACACCTAGGCCTATCCGTAAGTACAGTTGTATTTGAAACAAAGTTTATAAAATAAAGTAAATGCATACTGGCGCCTAACACGTGGGAATGAAGGAGCAAATGCCCTCCCTTTAATTGCAAAAATGTAATGCTTAAGGTCTATCATAACATGCTGTCACAAAACTGTTTTTCAAAAGTGTAACCTAAAATCAAAAAGTTGTAAAAACCATCGATATTTTGCTGTGCTTCAAATATGCGTATTTTCCAAAAAAAAAAAACTGAAAAAAGGCTATCATCGGCGAGTGACGTCACGGGTGTCAAACATATAATCCTGCTGTCACAACAGCCATTAACTTTAGAGTGAGGAGACACGGTAATCATTTTGAGGATTCAGTGGCAAGATGGTGTATTGTGCGGCTTATGGGAGGACTAACAGAAGCAAAAATGGTTCAGGTATTAGCTTCTTTCATTTTCTGGCAGATCCTTTAAGAAGAAAGCTTTAGACCCATAAAATTAGATGGGCTAACTTCGCTTCAACCAAATATAGCAAGGTATGTTCGTACTACTTCGAATGTGAGTGTTAAGAAGAGCGTTTATATGATCTGGCGAGAATTACCTGCCAACAAGGATAAAACAAATTAAAACCACATGCTATGCCAACAATATTCTATTGTAATGGTATATTGAATTATAAAAATACTGAAGCAAATAGAGATAAAAACTCTGAAGTGTCAGCGCGGTCACCAATGACAGTTCGCGACAGAGTACCAGACATCGGATGGCGTGTGAAAAAAATACGACACCGTGAAGTGAGTCCTTGCTTTCCCTGTATCGAGTATTAGGCTTATAGTTTTACATTAACGGGCTGATCAAAGTTCTGATTTAATCCGGATTTTGATATAATTATAATTTATTTGGGTGACACTTTTATCTAAAGCGAATTATTGGAATTTTCAAGCATACAATACAACGTGCTTCATATATGTACAACATTACACAATATTTAATGTGGCCTTTAATTTTCCCAGGGAACTTAATAACAGAAACAAGAAAATACCTACATTTTATCAGCAATCATTTCAATATAAGTATTATTTTCTATTACTTATTTATATATTGTAAAGAAATGTGTGTTACTATTCTGTTTTAACTACATAAGATAGAATGGGATGTACATCTCCGAACTCCATGTGTACTTTTCTTTAAAAACCAGCTTCACTCAATGCAGGATGGCAACCAAAGTTCTGGACATAGGATTCTATACGTCATCGGATCACGTGACTCTCTACCTAATTAACTTTTTGGCTGAACAGAAGTGCGGCATTTTATAGAAGGGTTTTTCATTATTTTTTGGCCTTTAGGTCAAATTTTTAAAATAATTTTGTAACAACATGTTGTAACAGACCATAAGCATTACATTTCTGAAAAAAAAAATAGGCTTCAAAAATCCTTTAACAATAGTGACAAAATGGTCATGCTCATGATTATTCGATACTTGCAAGTGCAAATGAGCAGTGCAAATTTACTTATTTCACTAAACGTAAGTAACAATAAGATTACTTCAACGTTTTATCTCATGGTTTATCAGAATGACCTATCAACACACACACACAAAAACTAAATAAGTCTTCATTAATTATCTCAATATTTCTCTGGAAAAAAAAACGGAAACCTAAACCTTCTGTAAGCTCAAAAACATCATAACCTCTTTACAGTAACTCAAGTTTAATCAAACATTTTATCATTGATATGTCACTGACTATGGTGCTAAAAGAAATACACATGGTAGTCACTTATTTTTTTGCAATTGTGCACATATATGTAAGTTACAAACAAACAGTATTAAATAAAGATTCTCGACATTCATGCAGAGAATCTTATAAATAGGAATTGCTCCAAATATCCTAAATTATGTTTATCTTATTGTGAATTTACATAAATGTGTTTTTTTACTAAGACTAAAAGTAAACCTGAAGTAGAAAATATGACGTCATAATTTCAATTTTGGTTTCTGTTATTGTTCTTTGTCGATGCTTTCAGAATTACCAACAAAATAAACTGGTAATATTAGCTTATTATTAATTATCAACAAAATAAACTGGTAATATTAGCACGTCACTTATTCTTAATTACCAGCAAAGTAAACTGGTAATATTAGCACGTCACTTATTCTTAAGACTTTTTATCTTCAAGATTAATAGTGGAAATATCATATATCAGGTTAACAAAACCCTTACTTATTTAACATATATTACTTCAAGCGAAGTATGATCATATAATATTTCAAATGCATGTATAATAAGTCTTTACCAATCGAAATTCATCATGTTTATTAACAGTGTAGTGCATCAATTGATTTTTTTTTGTTTTTAATGGTTTTTCTTATATATATATAAAAAAAGTAATATACTTATATAATTAATACATATAAAGGAAAGGCAAGTTACCAGGAGTAAGGAATGAGTTTTCTTAATATAGACAGTAATCCATTTTTCCATAGGCTAATTTCAAATAAAAAACTTGATTTTTTTTCTCTGAAAGATGAAATTCACTCAACCGAAATTATAACTTTCATGAAGCATAGTTTCTACATCTTCAATCAGGCATGCCTAATTTTTCTTTACAACGTTTCATACTCACATTTTCCATATGATATTCATTATTTCACCTATACCTGGAAATTATGGTTATTTTTAGATGAATCTGACCAACCGACACAACGCCGCCTTGGTCATAACGAGATATAATGCAAGTTCACGCATGCGAGTGTCTGAGGCTATGTAGATGTAAGTCAGTGTTTCTCAGCCGGATTTGCCAGACGACCCCCGCGTTCGGATTTTGTTCGTCGCGACCCCCATTATCTCTACAAGAATGAAAAAACAGTTCGTCATAGTTCATAACAAAGGTGATATGTACACCTCTCAGACACCTTCAGGACTCAAAAAAAAAAAAAATGTTGACCCTCCCTGAAAACCTGCTCGCAGCCCCAAAGAGGGTCGCGACCCACCGTTTGAGAAACACTGATGTAAGTCATAACTATATTGTCTAAACTGACAAGGAAATATTGAATGCTTTTTTTTATCATTTCTATTAAAATATCACAAAATATAGAAAGTATTTCGCTCACACAATACACGTGATAGACAAGACGAACCCCACAGTAAAAAAAAATCAAACAAAAGTAATACAACTGATGTTTATAGGGTACCAATGAGCACAGCAAAACAACAGGATGTTGATCCTTAGTATATCTTTATCGGGGCTTCACTTATAGTCCATCCTGTATTTACATTATATGTTTTCCAGACACGTTAAAACGTACTATGGTATTTTACAGTTACGTATTTATTACAAAATCCTAATTCTCAGATTTCTGTTTTAAAATTAATCCTTCATATAAACAATGTAGTTTCCATTACATCGAGTTCATATATAAGGATAGAACAAAACTGCGCACGCTCCTCCCATAAACCTGTAGCTTTTATTACTGTGTAAAGTAAGAAGCTACAAAGTAAATAGCAAAACAGAAAATGTGAAGTAGAAGTTTCATTGATTTTTCCTTCTCAGATTACAGAATAGCAACTACACTTTTCACTTCACTTGCTACCGTAGCTAATCAAAAACATGAACATATTTAAAAACAACATTATTAACAGACTTGTGAAGGTTACTTACACCAAGTCGGCTACAAGGAACATATAACACTTGATCTGACCGTTTTCCTTCTATAAGCTGGTGTGGCGGTGGTCCAATACGAAACGCTTTGGCTTTGACCCAAAATCGAAACTTGGAATTTTCGGCATTATTGTTTTCTTCTCCTTTGAGAATCTTCAAAATTCGATTGTATTTTCGTCTAGTGACTGTCTTGGTTTTGGCGCTATCACCGTAAGTTTTAAGAGCCCAACTTTGAAAAATTTCGTACATTTCTTGCTTGGTCATTAACGATGAAGAATCATTGGTATCCTCCGGTTCACTGGTTTCTCTTTCTTTCTCCTTTTTTATAGTTTTTTCGCTATCACTGTTTCCTGGCGGTGCAGCCGCAGCTGCAGCCAAGGCGGCTGCGTATCGTGTATTGTGTCTTCGTTCCATACACCGAAATGCTCGGCTGTGAAAACCGTGGTGTCGCAAACCGTTCAAAACAACAGGCCTTGTATTGTCCCACTAAAAGAGATACTTTTGTTCCTAACCCTAATGTTAGGCCTATGAACACCGCCAAGTTTCTCTAACGTGAAAATACAGGTAGTTTGGTATGGTACACGATGCCACGTATCAAACAGGGCGACTGAGAAACAACCTGATTGGGGCTGAGGAAGAACACCATTACGTTGGCCTGGGGTAAGAAGAAGCTGGTCTCTCGTTCGTTGCAGGCCTGCTTTGAATGGCAAACAGCTGCGTGGCAGGGCAGCCCACCAGCCAGTCAGAGACCTGCACGCACCCTGACTCTATCGAACCTCTACGTAGACATGCTCTGGTAGTTAGCCGCTTGTGCCCCGCCCGTGTGAGGCAACCACGGTGTCGTCAGGTCCGCCTGGAAACGTTCGAAATTTAAAGCACTTTTTCGTTCGGCATATGAACCCTATTTCTTAGCAGGTGGCACTTAGAAACACGTCGAGTAATCTTTAACAAAACAGTTTTCTAACAGGCCCAGCAGGCTTAATTATGACTGTGATAATAGTAAAAAAAAAAAGTAATATATTTTCGAATAAATTGGTGTTTCATTATATATGTAATATATATATATAGGTTTTATATCTAATATTAAACATAAAAGAACATTGTTCAGAAGACGATTATATGCACAATAATTCTACCAAAATTTTGTCCCATTCCGGAATCGCTTTGACATCGATATTATTCATGTACAATTTCAAACTTTGTTACTTCTCTTATTACCACTAGAGGGGGTTGGCGTTTTTTGAACTTGGTGAGGCATGCTCATTATCAAGCAGGTATGAAGTGCTGTGAACTCAAGATACCTCAGTCCCTTCTTCCAAGTCCCCTGATATTTCCTTTAAAAAAAAATATTTTGTACCGTCTTGCAACAACTAAAGTCTAGCGTGTGGCTCACGATATACTTTCTTCGTTATCGATTTTACAAGGAAAGGCTTCGTGTAAGCTGTAAGATAGAGAGCATGGAAGCACGAGACCACGCGCCGTCCGGTTGATAAAATATCAGGACAGCTACACCAACGCGTGAGAACCCTACCAAGGATAACAGACCCACAACTATATTATGAAGCAGGGATATCGTTCGATAAGTCAGACAATGCATTATAATGACGCATATAAATGAGAACATACTGCGAAACCAGGGAGGGCTCGAATAGTCCCGATACAAATTCCTGATTTCGTAATGCTGACGACACTAAAATAACTAGAGAACTACTTTTTAACTATTGAACTGTAATTTTTTGCATTTTACCATCAAAGTGACATTACACTTTTTGTAGTTTCTTAATTCTTCTTCATTATCATAATAGCTAACAACAAGTTTCCGATTAGCGTGAGAAAAGTCTTCTCACTTGTCAGTGATGCATCAGGAGCGCCTCTAACTTTCGGTAATTAAGGAACAAGTTTCGTTCATTTTTAGTGCAAACAAGAATTGTTACTTTAGTAAATAAGCAAGATCTTTAAAAACAACCAGTTAAGCCTAAGCTCAGCTACACACATAAAAGAAAGTCTATAGAACGGCACGAGTATACAAACCATAAAAATTATATTATATCAAATATACTTCTAACTGAAGTATTAAAGAACGATATTACTTGGTCACCTAAACAGTGAGCTTACAAAAAAAAAATAGAGTATTTATTAAAAATGGCAGGTTTGATTGGGCAATGTAAAAAACTTGCGAATTATTTGCAACGCTAGATCCGATTTTGCTATATTACATATATATATTATACAACATGTAAACATTACAAATGATTTGGTTATGTATTAATAACATAAAACACGTTACACATAGGCTAGCTACATCACAACAAACACGTTACACATAGACCAGCTGCATCACAACATACACGTTACACATAGACCAGCTGCATCACAACATACATGTTACACATAATCCAGCTGCATCACAACAAACACGTTACACATAGACCAGCTGCATCACAACATACACGTTACACATAGACCAGCTGCATCACAACATATATGTTACACATAATCCAGCTGCAACACAACAAATACGTTACACATAAACCACTTGTATGATAACAAACACGTTACACATAGACCAGCTGCATCACAACAAATACGTTACACATAAACCACTTGTATGATAACAAACACGTTACATATAGGCTAGCTACATCACAACAAACACGTTACACATAGACCAGCTGCATCACAACAAACAAGTTACACATACACCAGCTGCATCACAACAAACAAGTTACACATACACCAGCTGCATCACAACAAACACGTTACACATAGGCCAGTTATAGTACGACAAACGTATTACTTACAGATCAGCTACATCACAATAAAGTTATTACATACGGACCAGCTACATCATAACAAAAGCAGTGTATACAAACCAGGTATATCACAACAATATACAGACCAGCTTCATCACAACAAACACAGTACATACATACCAACTACATCACAACACTGAACATACAGACCAGCTTCATCACAACAAAGACATTACATATAAACCAGGTATATCACAACAATATACAGACCAGCTTCATCACAACAAACACAGTACATACATACCAACTACATCACAACACTGAACATACAGACCAGCTTCATCACAACAAAGACATTACATATAAACCAGGTATATCACAACAATATACAGACCAGTTTCATCACAACAAATACATTACATATAAACCAGGTATATCACAACACTGAACATACAGACCAGCTTCATCACAACACTGTACATACAGACCAGCTTCATCACAACACTGTACATACAGACCAGCTTCATCACAACAAAGACATTACATATAAACCAGGTATATCACAACAATATACAGACCAGCTTCATCACAACAAACACAGTACATATAAATCAGGTATATCACAACAATATACAGACCAGCTTCATCACAACAAAGACATTACATATAAACCAGGTATATCACAACAATATACAGACCAGTTACATCACCACAAAGACAGTACATACATACTAAGTACATCATAACAATATAGAGACCAGTTACATCACCACAAAGACAGTACATACATACTAAGTACATCATAACAATATACAGACCAGTTACATTACTACAAACACAGTACATACATACCAACTACATCACTATTTTATCTTCAAACAGCATAGTCAGAACTGTCTGGGATTGAAAATGTTTAAGAGCTAGATGAGTTACTCAGCTGCTAATGCCCTAGAAGATTAACTTCTTCAGCTAGATTATGGATTTAAAATGTGACGTATTTGCCATATAATGTTGTTTTTTTATTTTGTATTACATCCACTCATAAGATATAATTGTGGTGTTATTTTTATATTTAAAACAGTATTTGTATCACAAAAATACATATTATAGAGATATTTAAAGGATGAAATCTTGTTTGCAAACTTTTTCAGTACCGCCACCTAGTGAGAGCATTAACAGCCGTGTTTCGTAATATCAGTAAAAGAAATAACTACTCAAATCAGGTCAGAAGTTTTTCTAGCTTTTGACAGAAAAGGTTTGGAGAGCATAACTTAATAATAATTAACAAGTAATAGCAATAATAGCAAAGTAATAGTCCGACAATCCTGGTTTTGCCTTACAAAATAAAACGTAGCCATCATAGAACTAAAGGGAAAAACAAGTATTTATTGTAGATTATTGTTATAGTGGACCTTCACATGTTGCACACTATCTTTGGTATTTTTTTTAATGAAACTGAAAGTAATTCGCAATGAAATTTTATCTTCCAAATTGTACATGCTTTACAGTGTTTTCGTGTCACGTGAGAAATGCATTTTCCCAGGGGCATGTACTATTCAGATTACGTTTTGATTAAAATATGCATTTTCACTTTATTACATCCAAATCACTAGACAATGAAGTTGTTTACAAAACTGAGATTTGTTGAATTCATAGCAGTTCAACTACTGTTTGTTTGTTTGAAGTTAAGCACAAAGCAACACGTTTGTTTGTTTGTTTTTAATTATGCACAAACAACACAAGAGATATCTGTGCTTTTCTCACCACGAGTATCGAAACCCTGTTTCTAGCGTTGTAGGTCTGCAGGCATACCGCTGTGCCAATGGGGGGGGGGCAGTTCAGCTTCTACAAAATTAATTAATTGTAAAAATTTTCATTATATTTGGTATATAGTAATCCTCCCTAGTATATATATATATATTTACTTGAGAAACAATATTCATAAAAGAAACAAAAAGACATAAGAATCAACATAAAACAAAGATCCGTCAGTAATTCTATTCAAATTAATAAAGAAACAGAGAACCTTCAAACAGTATACAAATATTATAAGTGTTATTAATTAAGATAATTAATAGCAAAAGGCAAATACAGTGGTAAAGAAAAAAATTATTAAAAATATTTTTACATTTATTTGTAATTGTTTCTATTTAAATATAATTTTCAGTTTGATTCGTTTTATTTAACCATCTAATGAAAGGTATTATCAGGGGATTTTATTTTCTAAGTGATGATATAGTCGCTAATCCAAATATAATAAATATATAATTGTTTTAAACTAAAAAAAATATGAGATTATATCTTACCCCAAAATAGGTTTGTATCTCTATGTAACAAAAAACAGGTTTTAAACTTTA